AAACATTACCTATCTCAGTCCACCAAGTAGTTCTCCCTGCAGCTGAGCACAATGACACTGAAGGCACAACTTTCCATTACTGCGTGAAAGAATCAGTGAGAGGACTCAGTGCCATCACAAACACAATCTTCCCAGCAATAATGACATTGGTCTATAGGGATAACGTGGGTTGTAGAAAGCACAGGGGCAAGACTTCTGGGGCCATAACAATGCTGGAGACATGGGAGTAAGGAGGTCCCTGTTATCTTCTAGGATTTCGGTTCCCTCCAAAATATTTCTCCAAGGAACCCCTCTACTTAATGTTTATTTTTAAAACCCACAGATATTTCAATGTTCATTCATTTGTAGGTTTTATACATACATAAAATTTTGTGTGCATATACACCTGTATATATTTGTATTATTGATAGTTACGGCATGGGCTTAGTGAGTTTTATACCCTGGATGACTGTATTGGACTGAGTGAAAATGAAAGCACAACAGAACAAACTGTGGGATTCAACTGAAGAGAACCTGGTGGGCTATTTGTAGCAACAAACAGCTGAATCGTGTAGAAATAAAACTCTGAAAATTTTACCTCAGTTTCTATCTAAAAGAACTAGAAAAAAAAATAGTATGTCATATCACAGGTTTGTAGGGGGAAAATAATAAATAAAGGAATTCAAATAAATGAAACGACAGGAACAAAGTAAATAAGCCAATTATATGAAAACTGACTGTTTTGGAAGATTAAGTCAAGTGATAAATATTCAGATTTCCTAATCATGACAAAAGAAGGAGGCCCTGAATCTTCCAGAACAGAAACTAGAGAGGGAGTACCATTCCACGGGTTTTCTGAACATGTTATGTTCAAATTCATGCTCACTGTTTAAAAATATCACTGAATGTAGGAGTTCCTTGGAGAGCCAAAAAATAAAAATAACCAACAATGTTCCGACACAAGAAACAGGCAATGGTCCGTTCATTATCATCATGTGTATCCACCTCGTGACAATAAAAAGGGAGGACGCACATCACTGTGTATGTAATATAAAGTTTTAAAATTGAAAACTACTTTAAAATGATTATATGCAACAAGTAAAGCAATGTTTAATAAAGAACCTGTTAAAGAGCTCTGTTTTCCTTTAAGAGTGCGTGTGTTTCTGAGTGTGAGGGAGAACTTTTGCCCGTATTCTCATCCAAATACCAGGAAACATGCTAATACAGCTATCTCCCTGCTGATAAACTGACCATAGCCCCTGATGTGGGAGATCTCAGAGCACAGTCCCAGTCTCTGAGGTCTCTAGTGTTACCTTTTGTGCCCAGGAGATAGTCTACAGGACACATCATGAATTTCACACCAACCTTAGCTTTCATTTCGGCCATTTTACATGGTAATAATTGTAGATCCTTCTGTGTATGTGTGTAATTGTGAGTGCCTTAGTTTGTATGTGTTTCGCATAATCACAGCTCCTCTTTATTTTACAAGTGTGCAGTTTGAGGTGTAGCTGGTGGAGTCTGGGGGCAATCTGAGAAAGCTTGGTGGGTCTCTGAGACTCTCCTGTGCAGCCTCTGTATTCACCTTCAGTGACTATGGCATGCCATGAATCTGCCAGGCTCCAGGGAAGGGCCTGCAGGGGGTGGCAGGCATAACTATGATGGTGATGAGACAAGGTACATAGACTCCTTGAAGGTTCGATTCACCACCTCCAGAGACAATCCAAAGAACACACTCTATCTTCAGATGGACAAGCTGAAATCTGAGGACATGGCCACGTATACCTGTGCAAGAGACACAGTGAGGGGGAAGTCAGTGAGAGCCCAGATGCAAACCTCCCCTGCAGGGAGGAGACTGGTCTCCAGGGGGCACTCAGGACCCACAGAGCAGTGGACTCAGACCCAGGAGCAGGTGCAGCTGGAGCTTCAAGGCTGGTTTCCTAAGGGGATCTGTGGATTCTTCTAAATCTCACAGTTTCCCTAGGGTGTCTGTCTCTAATTTAAAAATAATAATTCTGTGCCTACTCTTGATATCTGT